CCCCCCTCAGTCCGCCGATCGCGACCCGGGACGGCCGCTGAAACGCCTCGTACGGCCGTACGTACGGCCCGTACGGCCGCCTGGGGGCCCGTACGTACGGCCGTATGCTCCCTATGGACGGCCCGTATCTGTACGGTGATTAACATAGCCCAGTCGGAGTAGAAACAGGATTCCTTCGAAACCTAGAAGGACTGGGATTGGTCGCTGTATCAGCTCTCCGCGAGACAGGGGGCTAGGGGACAGTGGATGCTGGCGGTGGCGGGGAAGTCGTCGGGGAAGGAGGAGACAACGCAGGTATGGAAGTATAAGCGGGCGGTGGTGGAGGGGTTGGTGGTGGCGCAGCCCGTGTGGGTGCCACTGGTGGGGCAGAGGGCTGGTGGTAAGATCCAGACGGCTAGCAAGGGGGAGGAGGAGGAGTGGGAGGAGGACGGGGAGGAAATTGCATGGGGTTGACAGGGACGGCTGAAGGGGTGAGAAGAGGAGCCCCTTGATCCTGGATAGTCTTCAAGCAGGATAACATCTCCTGAAACAGTAAAGAATGGGCGTCTTGTGCTTTCTTCACACTGTCTAGATCCATGCGTAGCAAACCAGTGTCCAACGGGTTCACTTCAGCATCCACCCGTTGCCTTCTGATCGCTTGTTGTAGAGGCACTGGTGCCTCACCTAAGATAGTGCCCTGATCTCTCTTTATATTGTCACTACCTTCACTGTTTCGGCCGCTCTCCCCTTCTTTGGGACATTTGCCAACTTTTTCAACCTTCTCCCAATTCGCCTTACTAAGTTGCCCGGAGGCACCGTTCTTTTTAGCCTCCATCTCTTCAATTTGTTCCCTAACCAGTTTGGCCATCCTGGCCTCGCGATCTGCTTCTTTTTTCACTTCGGCCTCAATTCGTCGATCCTCTTCCTCTCTGGCAAGCCTGGCTTGCCCTTCCCTATTCCTTCTGTCCTCTTCTTCCCGTCTACGCTCTCTTTCCTCCCGTCTATCGTTCCAGATCTCCCTCAAGATAATCACAGCCTCGTTGTCAGATCCGATCTCTCTAGGCCTGTTCCACACACGCCCGTTTCCTCCTCCAAAACCGCCAAGTGGAGGTTGATATGGCACAATCGCATTCGAGGTCGACGGTCGCGGTTGTAGCCTGTACTGGAGCTTGCAAGAGGGGCAGTTGCACTCCTTGCAGAGGAGGGAGAGGGAGCGGGGGAGAAGGGGTAGGTGGAAGGAGTGGGTTCACAGAAGGAGCAAGAGCAGGGAGAGCGAGCGGGGGAGGAGGGGCAGGTGGAGGGAGTGGGTTCACCGAAGGAGCAAGAGCAGCTAGGGGAAGGGGAGGTGTTGACGGGGCATGCGCTGCGTTATAAATTTGTCGTCCTTGCGCATATGCTGCATCTTGAATCTGCCCAGCACCATACAAGTCGTTGCGCCGAGGGTACGGACACCACCGTGCATAGTGTCCATACTGGCCGCAATTATAGCAATTTTCGTAGTTACCTGCCGGCCGTCCATCCGCCATTCGTAACCGATACGAGATTTCAACAACGTTCCAAACTAAAATCGAGCAGAGCAAACGGAACGAACGTGCACGAACTGAAGTAGTCACCTAGTCCCAAAAAAAGAGAAAAAAAATGGGGGAGAAAACCCCCAAAAAAGGAGAGAGAGAGAGAGAGAGAGAGAGAGAGAGAGAGAGAGAGAGAGAGAGAGAGAGAGAGAGAGAGAGAGAGAGAGAGAGAGAGCACGCGCCGGCGAGTGATGCCAACACAGCAGAGGGTGTGATTCTAATCGACAAAATGTCGCCCATGACAACCTCGAATATCAATTAAGCTAGCGTTTCCACCACACTGTGATAAGCACAATGGTTAAGACGCTCTTTCATGAGCTAGAAAGAGTAGAAGACGGCCAGCACCACGTAAAACTAAATGCTCCAGAAGCTTAAAGTGACGAGTGGCAACGACACGAAAACACACCAAACCATAGAGTCATAGACCAGTGGGAGTGGAAGGGGAGAAAAGAAGATCGCCAGCCAGGGAGATGAAATGGGAGAGGATAAGAAAATAGAGAGGTAGAAGAAACTCAGAATCAAAGTAGTGCAAAAAACCTTGCTTCATAAAAAAAAAATTCTCGTTGAAGCACGGAAGCCAAGCGGCGATATCTCCCTACATGTTTCGGCTGTGTCGCCGAGGCACGACCATCGTCAGGGGAGGTAAAATGCGCTACTGAACTGAGTATCAACGTATTCTTAAATACAAAACCCATGAAGTAACGCCCTGTCGTTATTGACGTTGCAATCCATATCAGCCACAGGGAAAGACGGAAGGGCGTGGCGGGGAAGGAAAGGAAAGGGAGAGAGAGAGAGAGAGAGAGAGAGAGAGGGGGGGGGGGGGGGGGGGGGGGGGAAGGAAAGCGGGAAAGACATACTGAAGGGCCAGAAAGCAGAGACAGGGCTGGTGGCGGAAAGAGGAGCTATGGCCAAAGGTCAAGACCCAGGAGCAGGCAGACAGTAGAATCGGAGGAGCAAAGAAGATAGGCAGAGGGGCACCTCGAGTTTACTTCAGGGTAATGTCAGGGTAAGGGCCGTGACCGGGAAGACAAATATGATGCGCCATGGGCCGGGACATCTCAACAGGAGGTCGGGGCTGGGGTAACCATAAGTGGGGTCAGGGAGATTTGTTGAGCCATCTTCGAAGTCGCCAGAAATTCAGGAGATATGCGGGATCGATCTGGAAGTTCACCATTGTTGTCGTATCTGTATCCTGTACTTCGCCGTTGTCGGGAGTGAGAAAACGTGTCCCTAGAGCCTTGGCCGATTCACTGGTCTTCCATCCGCGAATCCTTCACATAAAATTCTAACCCACCCTTTCCAGCAATTAAGATTCTTATCAGAAAACTCCTCAGCAGCTTTGAGAAAAATATTCCCCGGGAACCCTTTCAATCTCAGTTCCCTCCTTAACGAAACGAGGAATATTTCCCTCCTGACTGTATGGATCGTATTTTCACATTTGGAGATCTGGTCGTATTTTGCGGGAACCTCTAGAGGTCCCTGCAAAATCGTATTTCCATTTCCGCTGTTTCTTTCTGGAAACCAAAACAAAATTTCGCGGTCTGCAGGGTTGTAGAATTCAATTTGCAAAAATATGTGCATGAGGACTCTAGAAAGGGGGGGGGGAAGAGGGGATCGACTTTTTTTGTGTGTTGCCCTGTGTTACCAACGGATCTTATTTTCACATTTGGAGATCTGGTCGCTACTGTGTCGTTTCTGTTTTGTTGTGAATAGGGGTGCGGTGTGTGACCAGGACGTGACATATAATAACAAGTTTTTGAAAATATGTGGTAGTGTGAGTATGCCCTCAGATAGGAATCTCTAATGATGCAGCAAAATAACGATGTGGCTCAAATGTGGACTCATATCTAGGGGGGAGGGATCCAAACACAGAAGAACCTCACAGCTGAAGTCGTACACAGATGAGGGTGTAGGGAAATGGAAGGAAGAAGAACAAGAAGACTAGCTTAGATCAGTTGGTACACCCATGAACTGTTGAAATACAGACCGAAGTTCGAATTCCAATGGAAGCAGATGAGTGATAATAACTT